CATAGCATGTATTTAGGCGCCTGGTGTTAGCAGACGCGCCTAAACATGCTGTTTGATTGACTTTTCGAAGTTATTGCATTACCCTGCCCGACTGAACTTTTATTTTAACTTTTCTGGTCAACAACATAAATAACTCAATACTTGCTATAAAAAAGAGTGCAGACGAGCCTTTGTCGATTTGACATCTCAAGCATGCTTCGTACAGAGATCTTTACATGGTTGAATATTTATTATATAATAGTCTTACAGAATTTAGAAAAGAGTAGGCATACATTCGAGGGACGGCTGAAAAGTTCGCAGTCGAAGGTTTTATATTTTCATTATTTATTTAAAATTAACAATAAGACCTATGGCCTTATTCATAAAAAATAAAGTAGGTTTAAAGAGCTTTATAAATTGACGTTTTCATACATTTTTCAATTTATAAACCTTTTATAAAGCTACTTTATTTTTTATGAATAAGGCCATTATTCTTTTGAAGAACAATAGCAACATCACTAAACAGAATTAGAAGAAAAATTTATATTAATGCAGGAAATATTTATAATTCAAATTTTTTCTAATGTAGGCCCCTCAAGTGAAATACGGTTCTCACATCGTGAATATGTATGTATGTATATACAATGCCTTTATGCTAGGGAAAAATAATTTCTCAACAAAAGGCTACCTGCATCTCATTGTCTTCCGAAACTCTTCGTCTCCGCAGCTGCTTTTTTTTATTTGTAAAGAGAAAAAACCATTGAGTCAAGATTCGGATTGCAGGGTGGGTGGTTAGTTTCTGTGACTTCCGTAGCTTTTAAGGCATCCCTTGCAACCCGAGTAGTGCAATGAGCCAGTTTTCTTCTGTACGACTGGATTTGGTGGCTCACGAAGTAAGCCGTTCACCGTAGTACCTGTAGGCAAGTAATGAATTAAAAGAACTCCATCGCTATCCCAGAAAATGGTTGTTGTGGCTGTTGTTGTTGTAACAGCATACAAATTCCTCAAAGAGTTTTTGGATAATGATGTTGGAGTGACAGTTTTTGGCCAAATATGAATTTGAGTCGTTCCAGTTACGTGGACCCGAGTGTCGTGGGAACGCCCAGCAAATGGTAGCCATGACTGGTTGGTTGATGAATGCAGCGAGTTTAAATACTCCAATTAGCACTTGCCGCTTTAATCCTAAACTCCCAATTTAACCTGGAAAAGAAACGATCACAAGAAAACGACAGAAGTTGGTTATTTCTCTAAGATCCAGCTCGTGGAGTTTAAGAAACTATGAAGTTGTAGTGGGTTAATATCTCTTATGTCTGTAAGATAGCCACAGAAAGATTCACCTAAGAACCTAATTTTAGTCCTACCATTTCTTCTGCAACTGGTAGATTACAGATGCGACAAGAAGTGTTTTGCTCCAGTCTTAATTTTGCAGCGTGGGTTCCCAGAGCCCAGTTCTATGTGAAAATGGCAGTTAGTCCAGACAAATCCCTCTTGTTCAGCTTAACTGCAGTAAAATGCAGTACGTTTTACGCAAGACTCTTATAGATCCTGTAGGATGTCACCTACAATTAGCCAACTCTTTTCAGTGGTGAGAGATGTGGCCCTTGATATAGCTGAGAGGCATAGAACCTCTTCTGCGACTGAGATAGCCATATTCGGCCGGTTCTCGCTGCCGTGTATTCTTCTGTGCCCTGACATCCATATCAGTTCAACGAAATGCCTATCAGCTATAGCCATACGGTCCATCTGCATTATTTTATTATGCTGGGGATGATATTTGCAGAGCCAAGTGCTTTGACCGCCGCCAGGCTTTGATGGTAAAGACCTCTGCCTGAAGAACACTGGGGAAAAAAATTGCAAAATAATACCAAAAGCTGTGTTACGAATAATAATGACCAAAGTCTTATAGTTTTAAATTGTCAATGGAATGAGGAAACTAATTTTGTCTGAATATTCTCAATCGAAACGCTTGTATGTGGTTTTAAAAATTGAATATTGAAATTTGTTTAAGTCTTACCAGTATAAACATGCGGTATCGTTCGAACTTAGACTTCTTTACTTGCTTTGGCCTGAAAAGTTCTATACATCTGAAATACTTCCATTGCGTTATTGCATTTGCACTTATCAAAAAATTGTTGACCGATGGTGATGGAGTATACTTACTTCATTTCGTTCACAGTAAGATGTTCATTTACATCGCATAAAGTAAGGATTTGCACATTCGTACATTTTGGCAGTCACAGAGGGGTGTTGTCTAGAAATTTATATCAGCTCAATATAAAATGTCCAAACAACCCGACTCTGTAACTGCCAAATTGTACAAATCACGTGATCCCTGCTTAGCACCGTGTGACAGTCAATTTTACAAACAAAATAATCAGCTAAGACCAAATATGTGTGTGTGATCTGATGTCAGGACTTTTTAAAGGACTTGGAAATTTCAAGAATATGATTGATTCCAAAAATTATTTAGAAAATGCAGTGTAATGTAGAATCACAATATGGGTATCAAAGAATATAAAAAATTTTGAATAATTGAGAAAAACTAAATGCATTATTTTATAATAAAACCGAATTAATTAAAAGGACATTTTTACTACATTTTCATGCATGCGAACTAGAGAGAAAGTATTTTTCAATTTTAGAAAATTTTCTCTTTTATTTGATACCCTTACTGTTATTTTACATTGCACTGAATTTTTTAAATTATTTTTATATATATATATAAGATGGTGTTACGAGAACAGCTAATTTGATTCGCCTCGGTACACATGTATCAAAATTTCTTATGAGTGAGTGAGAAAGTGAGAGTGTTGAAATTTTCTTTCCCTGTTCTTCCTTGAACGAAGAATAGCTGAAATTTGACATTTGTGTACCGAAAGCAAAAACAAAATATGTACATGTAAGTTTTTGTTTTTGTTCAACCGCTACCACCTTATATGAATTCGCCTTGTCTATAGCTGAAATTTCAAAGTCATTTAAAAACACCCTGACGTTCAAAGGAAAAAGTAAAAGACGCAATTTCTTTTTTGTGTTATGAAATTTTTTAGTTTTTGTCGTACCGTTTTCATTGGGCAATGGAAGACTGATTTTAGTTTGATACCTTGGATAAATAATGTATATCTATACCTAAATCGAAAATGTAGCTTTCTTTGTATTCCGATGATTAAGTAGGTTGAAATCAAGTCGTAGTCAAGTAGAAGTAAAAAGTCTCATTGTGAACCCACACATAAAATGATATGATCTTTTATCCTTGTGTCGTGTACCAAAAATATAAGAACCAGATCTAGATAACATATCATATAAGCAAAGAAAAGTGTATACATATTAGGGTGGTTCTTAAAAATATCAACTTCATGGGACACATCTTTATTTTGCTTTACGTTAAAAAAAAAATTATTTTTTCGTACCCTGGTAGCGACCCACGAAAAATTTTCTAAAATTTTGAAATATTCACGGATGCCTTTATTAAGAACTAGAACAAAATATATAGTTGCCCCGTACAAAATTTATAGGTTGATGTTTTTAAGGACCATCTTAGTACATATACTTATGTAACTATATTCACGGATTTGTATTTTGTAACTTTACTGGGTCTGATAGGGACCAGGTAGCATTAGATATGAGGATATGTAGTACCAGATATGTTCCCCCACTATGCAGCGATCCTAATATTATTAACAGGGAACGGATTTTTTGGAAATTGCCTTTTTTTCTGCTAAAGAGATAGAGTAACTATATTCGATTAAGAATGTCCACGATTTAGCTTTCCATGATTCCATATATACACATTTGATGTTGCCTTTTTTTGCCTTTTTTGAGATATTTGCCTTTTTTGCCTTTTCTACCCTTAGAAAAGTGATTATAGCATTACCATTTTTTTTAAGATTAAAAAAATATATGCAACAATTTTTATTGAGCTCGAGGCCGTTTTTTAATGAAAATTTATTGTGGAAAAGCGGTAAAACAGCCTCGAGCTCAATAAAAATTGTTGAATATAATTGTTATAAGGCCAAAAAATAACAAAAAACGATTAAAAAAATATACACATGCCCATGCGGCTTATAGATTGGCAAATTGGTGTTAGAAAAATTCAAAGCCGTTTTCTCAGCTAACGTAGGCTTGGAGACAATAACGGGTGTGGATAAAGTTGTAAAGGGCGATGAAAACGCCCATATTCCTGATAATATGAACGTTTCAAACCTCGAAGCGTACATTTAGTACATTCAAGGCTTTTCTTCGCGAAAATCGAATGAAAATCCTGCCAGAAAACTTCAAAATACATCTTATGGTTCAGTGTTACTACAACTATACAAATTAAAGTTTTATGAGTTAGAAACTCGAAAGGATAAAATAGTCAAAGATTCAAAGTGCAAATTTTTCATATAATGAAACTAGTTCCTAGTTTTTCTCTTTTTACTTGTAATATAAACATTTCTAAAATAAATGTATTTTTTGATTGTTCTTCGTATTTTCTGTCTTTTTTTAGTGCCTTTTTTGCCTTTTTTGCAATACCTATTGCCTTTTTCGCTATTTTATTTTGTCTTTTCCAGCCTATTTCGTTATTTTGTTTTGCCTTTTTTATAGGTTTTTAGGTCCTAAAAATCCGTTCCCTGATTATTAATATTTTAAGACCGAGTCAGAGTAAAAATGATGTATCCAACACCGAAAGTGGTTATCAGAGTTATTTTTTTCTATTCGACCTGTTGTAATAAAAAAAAGTAACTGAGCAAATTAAGATAGATAGAATAGTACCATTACGTCAAAAATCTTCAGGTTCAAGTGCAAGTTATCAATAAAAATCGATATTCCGAAATGCGAAACATCCATCGTCCTAAATCTAATCTTATTGAGCCTCAACACACTAGTCTTTCCAGACCAACATGCGAAAATACGCTAGTCTTGTACACTGTATATATGTAGTTGTATTAATAAGAGAGATTTCTAAGACATTGCTGAGGTAATATACTACTCCTTTTCGCCTCACGCCCATGAAAAACCGGTTTCAGACGGTTTACAAAGACTAGTGTGTCATGGCTCATTGATTATTGAAAAACAAATATATATACGATAACAGTTTGATGAATCAATGACCTTTTTAATGTCCTGCGTTGTAACTTTGAACGTAACGCTGTTGCTGACGATAAGATGGTCAGTGCTTATTTTGAAAGAAGACAACCTCAGATAATGCACGGGTGCAGACCAGCATAGTCGCTTTGGCAAAAATTATTAACTTGGGCTACGAACTGCTGCTTAACACAGAATATTTTCCCGCTTCAACATTGTTCGACTATTTTCTGTTTCCAAACGTGATGGAACGGTGCGAGGTTTGGCTGGAAGAAAGAGGTCGTCACTGAAGCAAACGGCTATTTTAAGGCAATTAAGGCCTTGCGGATGCCTATTATAGTGAAATTCCGATAATTCATAATAGCAAGGGACCAGTAATATTTTACGAATTAATCAGGTTTTTGAATTAGCAAGATTTCGATGTTAACTGACCAGGAAAAAATACATGCAAAAAGATGCGACGAAAAAGTTAACGACAAACATAAACGCTAAACTACTATGATTTATTTTTCCGAGGTACAGCTGCATAGAATTTTGCCTTGCAGTACGAGTTACAAAAGGTTGTAAAAAAATAGGAATTAATTGGAGGGCCAAAATGTATAGGAAACTTTGCGAATTGAAGAGGTTTTTTTCAAGTACCACGGATTGCTACGGGTACGAATTACATATCGCGTCTTCGCTGTATTTGGAAGGGATTCAATAATGGGAAAACCGCTGGTGTTAATGTATTGAGGTTAAAGAAGACTATGTTAAAAAATGAAGCGTTTTTTCTTTCAAAAAGTCACTGGCTTATCAGACAGTCCTTATATATTAGCAATCATGGGTGGATAATTTCGTTTGTGTCCTTACTCCAAAACAGATATCTATTTGTAATCACTACTATTATTGGACAACCCCATCTGACGTAAATGAGACGGTAAACTGATCGTTTTATAGGTAGCTGAAACCTTTTGTTCGTTTTGCAGTCTCAGCTAATACTTGCTTTTGATTCCGCTCTCATTCAAAGTATTATTCGGCTATTATCTGCGGATGCTAGAAAAAAGTTCTTGCCTAGGAAACCAGTATAACCTGTCGTACTCCATTTTAATTTCGAGTCTGGTTCGATAGCGGTGATATGAAGAATACGAAGACACCAACAGCGATTATCGGATATAGTTAAAAAATCATCGAATTGACCCATCTAGTATGTCTAGGAAGAGAACTGGAACTAAGCGAAAACAAAACTGTAGCCGACCTCTCCGGGAGATGACACTTCTTGCATTAACATCAATTGTTTTTCACTTTTGATTTTTTTATCTTCCGCAGAAAGCCACCATTAACTGCACCCATTGGTAGGTAGGTTGTGGCACCTCTTCTAGGAATTTTTACTATCGACTTCAGCGCAAGCACACGTCTCAGATTTTTTTCAAGTAAAGTTAACAACAAACCAAATTTTTAGAGCCCAAAAATAGCTTTAATCGATATTGTCTACCCAATAATCTCTTCTGTGAATTTGTTGTCTTTCTGAGCCCTTCTCCATTGTGCGTTTCAGTTATAACTAATCTCTGCCAGCTAACCGCAATTTGCTTTTGACTAATCCCTAAAATGGTTCCCCACAAAACTTAATGGATTCTAAATTGCTTTTTCAAATTATCCTCAACAGCGATGATCTGCAGACAACCGGTAGCGACAATTGCACCTTCAACAAGGAGCATAAGGAACTGGGCAAGGGTAACTTCACTAAGATTCCCAACGGTGTCAATGGTGTCGAAGATCGCATGTCTGTCGTTTGGGAGAAGGGTGTACACGCTGGTCTATTAGACCCTTGCCGATTTGTCGCCGTCACCAGTACCAATGCCGCCAAAATATTCAATCTCTATCCGCAAAAGGGCCGCATTGCTGTGGGCTCTGATGCAGACATCGTCATCTGGAATCCAAACGCCACACGCACCATCTCCAGGGAGACTCATCATCACGCATGCGACTACAACATCTTCGAGGGCATGGTATGTCATGGTGTGCCCGAGATAGTTTTGGTACGTGGACGCATTTGTGTAGAAGATGGCGCTGTGCGCGTGGCTGAGGGCTATGGTCGCTTTATCAATACACCAACACGTCCGCCATATCTCTACGATGTGCTAGAAGGTAAGGCTGCACTAAACGAAGAGCGCAATGGGGAGGAGGCTGCGCATGAGGAACACTTGAATGGTGGGCTGAAGAAGTTGGACTTGGGTGCATTGGAAATCGAAATACCCTACCAGGAGCCAATTTCGCGCACACTTCTGGCTTCCATGCCGGGTGCAGGTGGTTCCGTGGCGAGCACACCGTCGGGTCGGGGACACGTCGAAGGTACGCGCAACATGCAAGAATCAACGTTTTCCGTTAGCGGTAAAGTATTTGATTTGAGTGAAATGTGTGGCGTAAAAAAAA